CGATTTGCTCCAGCATGTAATCCGAATACTGCTTCTCGATGCACTCCGCCTAAAGTACTTCCAAAGAGATCCGCTGTGTGGACAGATATTACTGAAATCTTTTTTGTGAGAACCTACCTTCTTCTCGAACTTCGCAATGGTCACATTATCCCACCATTGGCGTATATTGCCCAGGTTATCGTAGAGACGTCCTGAACTGACACTGTGGCTTTTTTCCCTTTGCATCAATTTTCAAAGCTTGGATCAAAATCTCAAAATTTGACTAGAAGTTTGTCCCCGAGATATCCAGCCCACTTTAGCACAAATATTATATTCGTGTCGCACGAACATTTGTGGCAACCACAGACACCATCATCAATCCTCATGCCATCAGATCCACTCGAAAACTTGCTATCAGGAGCAGCTCGACCCGCCAGCATGAATATGGACCTTATTCATCGTTGTGAGCAGTTACGAGCATGAATTTTCTGAGCGATAGGGCGTGCAAAAAGGTGTGGATCGGAGCGCAGCCAAGACGGCCTTCTCTACCAGTGATGTCATCCTGAGTCCGCAGCAATTGGTGGAAAAGGTTCCTGGCTCCGTTCCGACTCGCGCTCATTCACACTATCGCTTGCAGGGATCATAATAATAAATTGAAATTTTGCCGGAATTCTCGCATCGGCCCCGGTGGCGTGAGTGCCACTTGTTTTCTCATCGACGCCATAAGGGTTTTCAGAGGGTTACGTGATATCTTGAAGTTTTGCGCGTGGTCCTGTTGCGACGCCTGGTAACGTGTTCGCATAACCAAGTAATCAGATTGCTCTGTGAAAAAGAGAGGGCAGAGAAAAACAGGAAGACCGACGCGTTTCAAAGGTATTCAAACGCGGAATGTATTTACAGCCCAACGTAACCTTGCAAGACAAGCTCAAAGAGAATTTGGACACAAATTTCGAAAAGGGAAGAAAAAAAGGGTAAAAGGTTCAAATCTCTCTTGTTTAGTGTGAGTGACACATACCTCTATCGTCGAAACCATGGGTAATTTCATGACCAATGACAACTCCAATTCCACCAAAATTCATTGACGATGGGAAATCTTTGCTGTAGAACACTGGCTGGAGGATTCCGGCAGGGAAAACTGTAAAAGCATAAGAATTGTTAAAAAACACGATTGTGTAAAAAAATCGTTCATGCGTAAGAATTTTGCAGAACGGTGAGTGTGCTCTGATAATGTTAAACATCTCATTGTCAGAAATCAAAGTTCCACTGGTTAACAAGTCAGCCACTGCTCGAACACAGATATGAAACACCGTTTTTTTCACTCTTGGTTTACAACTCACAAGGGAAGGATGATAGGTCGAAATGGCCATTTGAAATGAGATGTATACCGAATGAAGGGTCTTTGGACGAGGCGAGGGTACGAAATCGCCTCCCACATCTGCTGCGGACCTCCCAGAAAAAGGTTACGGGGCGTCCATAGCATGGTTAAGGATACGTCGTATCTCACCATGAACGTGTCAGGGTCTGAATCCTTTGATGCGGTTTACTCTGGAAGTACATTTTGGCTGTTCATTTACTTCTTTTATTGCCTTCCGAGGAGCTGTATCTTCCAAAGAGAGCGTATCCCCAACGAAGAAAATGACTTTCTTCTCTAAACAAGGTGGTTGGACCCAAAACCACACGAAGAAAATGGCTATACTTGGATCCCAAATTGGTGTTTTGCCAACTGGAAGTCTTCGGCTCGCGTGACAACGTCGAGAGCCAAAAATGTGCTCCGTCCACAATGGATTCTTTAGTTCAGAAACATTACGTCAAGCACAGCTGTTGTGCAAAAATGCTTACCAGTGCACAGAGACCACTTTCGGAAAAGTGTAAAAGAGCACACGCATCAAGGACGCAAACCCTCGACCACGCACTTGTGAGACCTACAACGTATCCACTCGACCACGCTGCTACGATCTCATTAGCCTTACGCCGCCAATTCGTACTGAATGCGAGTATGCTCCCCCAAAAAGCTCCGTAACTTTTTTCTGGGAGGTCCGCAGCAGATATGGAAGACGGTTTCGTAATCCCCGTCCGAAGACCTTTCAGCCGGTATACATTTCATTTCAAATGGCCACTTCGACCTACCATCCTTCCCTTGTAAGCCCTCTATGGGGTTTAGTGTTCAGGCAAAGAAGTAAGGATACAACATCAAGACAGAGCTAAGGGTTTGGTTAGGAGCTGCTTAACTGCACAACCCCAGAAGCTCAATTTTTGCCCAAACGTCGTCTATAAGGACAAATGGTGGTGCTTATCCTCTTATGACGCTTATGTGAAAATATCTCGCCAAATGCACAGCCAGCACCACATTTAGTCGAAGTCGCAGCCACACCTACTCATCTCAGGGATTTCGAGTGCATTTTAGCTCCGGCTCGATTTCGGCATGACGATGATTAACACCTTCTACAAGCTCATAGCAGAATATTCTAACTGGCAATATAAGACACTGATTTCAAAAGTGAGGCCCTGACTGTTCCCTGGAGACCAACCTTCGACGCGAATCTTCTTGGTGAACCTTCGGGGGTCACATTTTAGGGTCGTGGTGGGTTTGAGCAGCGTCAGCACATAATCTATTACGGCTACTGCCCGAAATAAATAACAGGGACGGAATACGTGACATTATGCAACTCATCATGTGATCGTGTCACAAAGTACCTCATTTAAAGGCAGTTGGCACGAT